TTCCAGGCAGCAGGGGTTCCTGAGGAGTCTGTGAGCAAGCTGGGAGCTTGCCTGAAACTTTACAGACAAAAGAAGTTGGCAGTCCCATAGGAGTGGCTTGGCCAGGTCAGGAGTAAGGGGCAAGTGGGAGGTGATTGGCTGTCCCCGTGTGGGGCAAGATGTACAGACTGGGCTGGGCAGACAGGCAGTGGTATCAATGGAGGAGAGAGATGAGCCTGAGACACTCATTGGATTGGGATAAAAAGTACATGGAGGGAGCAGAAACCAAAGAGATTTGGAGACTGTGCTTCTAGCCAGTGATTTGTAGGAAGTATCAGGGAATTGGAAAGAAAGCAGGAAAGCAAGATTCCCTCCTGGTTGCTGTGTGGAGGAGCCCAGAGGCCCACCCACAAAGCAAGAGCTGCAGGCCCTTTCTTTTCACACTGAGGTCCAGCTATGCTGGACCAGGCAGATCTGGGCCCGAGGACAGGCTGGCCAAGGGCAGACAGGCAGACACGTAGTCCTCTGGCTTCCAGCCACCAGACTCACAGGTTTCTGGGAAAAGCTGACAAGGGGCCACTCTGTTCCTTTGAATCCGAGAAGATGTGACTGGGGAAGCCTAAATTAATTAAGTGATGCTGAGGCCCTGCGGCCCTCCCAAGCAAGCACACAGGGAAGGGCATACAGAGGCCCGAGCAAACTGCACTCCCCCTCCAGTGCTGGAATCCAACAAGGATTCATTGGAACTAAGCCTGCACTTAAGTGCTTCCAGGGAGACAAAGAAATAATAAATCAGGAGCAGGCACCCTGCCCTCGTGCTGCAGCCACCAACACCAACCTGCGTTTCTGCAGAAACACACTCACTGCCCTTCTCTGGGACCAGGTGTCTCAGTGCAGCAACAAATGGCAAAGCCCTAGAGTTGACGAGGCCCCATGACCTTCTCAGAAACGAGGCCAGGCTGGGATGGTACCTCCCTGTAGCAGCACACACCCACCCCTGCCACCAACCCAAGACTCCCACATACACCCCAGACACCACAGGATGGCCATCCCTCTACCCCTTCCCCAAACTCCCATACACCAGGACTCCCCAGCCCTTCAGAAGCTCCCTGTGGCTTCGGTCCAGCACAGAGCAGACTTGATTCTATTAAACTACAGGCACAGTTGTATCCAGTGAATACAATGAAAAGAAAGATTTTCAGCCAGAAATCACCAAGCTGTCTCTATCCATACAAAATAACAATGATTAAGCTCCTACTAAGTGTCAAGCATTTAGCTAGATGCTTTCAAGTAAGTCATCTCAAGGTCTTCAGCCACCCACAGCAGGGCGACATGGTGGCTGAGAGTGTGACGCTGGAGCTAGATCACTGGCATTTGAATCCTGTCCCCATCACTCGTGAGCTCTATGTGATAAATTACTTTACTTGGTGTCCTCACCTATAAAAAGGTAATATAAAAAAAGATGGTGAGAGTATTAAATGAGCTAATATTGGTAAAATGCTTAGAACAGTGCCTGGCACATTATAAGTACTTCCTTATGCCAAATAAATAAATTCCTTCCTTTGCTCATTCAACTTACATTGAGTACCAGATATGAACCCTTCAGCAACAGTTGATATATCCGGTTAAGAAAGGATAGAAGAATGTTTCCATTTTCTCTTATGGGATTGGATGGGAAGTTCCCTTTTGCCTGTAAGTTATGCTCAGATAGAGCAGTCTTGGAAAAGGAACTTACCAAGAGTTGAAGTGAAGAGGAAGCAGCAGGCGAAGGAAGGGAGGGACGGGATTGTTGTGGGAGCCTGACTGGCAAGTGGCAGAGCCAGGGCCAGCACCCTGGACAGCTCCCTGCAGGCCAGGACAGGCATGGCGGTCCTGGCCAGGTCTTGCCAAGGCTCAGGCCCTACACAGCTCTCTGCTGAAGGGGTCCGTCACCTCCCTGCAGTTCCTGCACTCAGTCCTCAGTCTGATGAGGGATGGGGGTCACCTTTTGATCTGGAAGTTGGAGAGTGAAGGAGTTTAGTGTCTCTGGGACCTCCTTAGGGAGCCAGCCCAGGGCCTTCCTCCTCCCATGGGTCTTGATCTGCCCCTCTCTCCTACACTGCCAAGGTGTGGCCACCTTGGAGATGGAGCAGCAGGAGCACAACGTGGCCCAGGGCATAGGAAGGCAGCAAAAGGATCACGAGACAGGTGCCAAAGCCTGGATTTAAATCCAAACTCTGCAGCAGGGATCTCCATGCCCAGTAAGGCCAGGGGAATAGCACCCACACTGCACCACCACTGTGGGAGGATGGAGTAAAGCAGCACACCCAGCGCCATGGCACAAAGCAAGTGCTTAGTAAATGAGCCTGCTTCCTGCCGTACAGGAACGGAGGACTGGAGCGTTAGGTATGAGCCCACAGATAACTTGGCTTCAGGTTCGTGAAGAGTCATGAATTGTTGTTGGCCAGAGGCTGAGAGAAGGAGTCTGCATCTTGAAATCCCTGGGAAAGCTTCTCTTCTCTAAGATTCCACTGTTCTTCAGCCACTCGACAGAAAAATTCTGCCTCAAATTCTGCCCCCTCTTTTTAAAAAGTCAGACAGGGAAAATACCATATGCATAAGTAATAATTGCTCTGTAAGCTGGAAGACTGACTCTTTAAAAGTCTCATATGGGAGAGTCAGAAGATCCCAGAGGTCAAATTCCATGACTGGAGGGCCAGGTGACATAAGTGTGTGAAGCCAACTGAGGGAAGACTAGGATGAGCTGGAGAGTATCTGTGTGTTGACTAAAGGCCATCAAATAAAATTTAAAATAATTTTTCCATACCAAAAGAGCCCTTCTGCAGCCACGCTTCTGTTGAGGGGGACAGTGGGTAGGCTCTCGCCTAAACCCTTATTGGACAGAGGCTAAGTCTGGGGCTCAGAGAGGGGCTGTGACTCACCCAAGGTCAAACCGAGCCTGTCCTGTCCCCATATTGGGCTCTTTCCCACCTCAGAGAGAGCGCAGTTTGGCCACTGCAGAGCAGGTGCCAGAATGGATGAATTTCTCCTCCTTTCCTGGGGTGCCATCATGGGTGGAAGGATGGGGGCAAAGGTGGCAAGGCTGCTGCCTCTCACCCTCACACCCTGGTCTCCATCATCTCACCCCACAGCCATCTTGGGGACAGAAACCAATTTCCCAATGCCCCCTGGTCCCTCCGCCAACCCAGAGGGAGCCCAGGATCACAATGCCCACCTAACTGGAGGAACCAGCCAGGTAGCCACATGCCTCCTGTGCCTTTTGTCTGTTCTTCACAAGACCCACAACTGAATTGAGGATAAAACAGCCCATTTTACAGATGATAACAACACGGCAAGTAAGGTTTATATATTGCTCTTACTATGTATCAGCACTCTAAGCAGTGGGTACTACTATTGTTCCATCTTACAGATAAAGTAACTGAGGGGAAGAGAGGTGAAGCAGTTCCCCCAGGCACCCTCACTAATAAGTGGCAGGGCTGGGAGGCATCCTAGTTGCCTGCCTTCACAGCCCAGGTTCTTCTGAGCCGCTGTGAGGAGGGCACGGTGAGACGAGCAGCTGGGTTTAATGCTGGTTTGCTTTTGCGGCTAGGGTGGGAAGGCTCCTCTTACAGAGAGACAAACTGTAACCTCAACAACGCAAGTCCCCCCACCCTCAGCTGCCGTGGAGCCTCTCCCCTGGCAGCCCTCAGACTGGAAAGAGGGCCCGATGTGCCATCCAGGGTCAACGCTCCTCTGGGGACCCGTCAGGCCCAGCGTGCAGCCTGGGCAGCCCAGCCCGTCAGCTGAGAGCCCGGCGCCTTCGCGGGGCGCCCCCTCGGAAGGTGAGCCCTTGCCCCCGCTTCCGATAGCAGCAGAGCTGCTGGGCCCTGTCCGGGAGTGGGCGCAGCACCCACGCGGGGTTTCGTGCAGCTCCAAGAGAGGCCCCAGCCACCTCACTGTCGAGCCCACGCAGGGCTTGGAGGCAGCTCTGGCGATGACGACGGGGAGTAGAACACTGGGCGAGGCTGGCAGGGCCGGGGGAGGGCTCGGTCTAGTACGAGGAGGGCCTGGGAGGAGTTAGAGTGGGGAGGGGGTGAGAAGGAGGGAAGAAAGAAGAGGCGGAGCTGCGGGACCAGGACAGTTAACGCGGAAAAGGGGAGTCCAGGCAGGGGGAGTGTGGGGAGGCAGTGCGGGAGGGTGGAAGGGGCTGGGCTGATACTCCAGGCCCCGGGTGGGGGCGAAGTAGCTTGTCCCCCCAACCCCCGTATGCTTGTAGTCGCAAAATCGCAAAATCTGCCCAGTGGCGGGGGTCGAAACCAGGCCCAGCAGTCTCTAAGCCTCCCCTCCCTTCCTGGGTGGGGCGGGGCCGGGGGCGGGGCCAGAGAAAGGGTTGGGGGTCAGTGCCCAGCGCCCCTCGGGTCGCAGCTCCACTATCCAGCTGCGAGAACAGATGGACTCAGGCGCGGCTCACCTCGGGGGCTCCCTGCCCGCTGTGCGCGGAGATCCTTGCTGAGGCGGAGATCTCCAGCTCCCGGCTCCCCCTCCCGAGGGGCCGCGGGAACCTGCTGCCGCTCCCCTCTCTCCAGGGGAGAAGAGCCCGCGCTGAGCCTGCAGATCCTAGAGCTGGAGGTGGGGACAGAGGGCGGGCTCCTCGCGCGGCGCACCCATCCCCAGGGTTCGTCCAGGACTCTTCTGCACCGAGACCCCTTCCTGGGGCTTCCAGCCCTGGCGCATCTGGGGAGCGGACCCCTGCCCGGCCACGCCCCGCCCCCGGCCCCCGCCTCGCCGACGTCGCATTAGCATGAGCGACGCAAGTGGCCCGGGCACCACTCGGGGGCTGGGACTCGCCGCGTCACAGCCCCGAGTGGAAGGGAAAAAAGAAGAGGCGGAGGAGGCAAGAGCCGACGCGAGGGGAGGGGAGCGCGGCGGCGGGGCGAGCGGGCGGGCGGGCGGCTGCAGCATGCCCCTGGGCCAGCGCGGGCTGCCTCTCAGCGCGGCGGGGGCTGCTCCGGGCGCGCCCCGGGCGCAGTGTGCCCAGTCTCCGGCCCCAGCCCCTCGGAGCGCCCGCCTCCCCGGCCGCCCCTGAGCCCAGCGGAGGCGGGTCTCCAGATCGGCTAAGAGCAGCTGCGGCTCTTCTCCAGATCGAGTCCTTGCCTTTCCCCGGGGCGCGGGGCCATGAGCCCCGCGGCCACCTGAGGCACAGGACCCGCTGCTTGGCGAGGACCGCGCCCCCAAAGTCCAGTGCCCCCGTCTCTGCACTGCGGGACGCCCGCGCCCAACCCTGGTGGAGGCGTCCTCGGAAGAGCAGCGGGGTGAGGGCATGGAACCCGCGGCACCGGCGGGCCAGGCCCGGGCAGCGGCCACAAAGCTGTCGGAGGCAGTGGGAGCGGCGTTGCAGGAGCCCCGGCGGCAGCGGCGCCTGTTGCTGGTCATCGTGTGCGTGGCGCTGTTACTGGACAACATGCTGTACATGGTCATCGTGCCTATCGTGCCCGACTACATCGCCCACATGCGCGGGGGCAGCGATAGCCCCAGCTCGACCCCCGAGGTGTGGGAGCCCACCTTGCCGCTGCCCACTCCAGCTAATGCCAGCGCCTACACGGCCAACAGCTCGGCGCCTCCGACGGCTGCGTGGCCTGCCGGGTCAGGCCTCCGGCCCCGATACCCCACGGAGAGCGAAGACGTGAAGATCGGGGTGCTGTTTGCTTCCAAGGCCATCCTGCAGCTGCTGGTGAACCCCCTGAGCGGGCCTTTCATCGACCGCGTGAGCTACGATGTGCCGCTGCTCATCGGCCTGGGCGTCATGTTCGCCTCCACGGTCATGTTCGCCTTCGCCGAGGACTACGCCACTCTGTTCGCAGCGCGCAGCCTGCAGGGCCTGGGCTCGGCCTTCGCTGACACGTCCGGCATAGCTATGATTGCGGACAAGTATCCGGAGGAGCCAGAGCGCAGTCGAGCGCTGGGCGTGGCGCTGGCCTTCATCAGCTTCGGAAGCCTGGTGGCGCCGCCCTTTGGGGGCATCCTCTATGAGTTCGCGGGCAAGCGCGTACCCTTCCTGGTGCTCGCCGCGGTGTCGCTCTGCGACGCGCTGTTGCTGCTGGCGGTGGCCAAGCCATTCTCCGCTGCCGCACGGGCTCGGGCCAACCTGCCGGTGGGCACGCCCATTTACCGCCTCATGCTAGACCCCTACATTGCCGTGGTAGCCGGCGCGCTCACCACCTGCAACATCCCCCTTGCCTTCCTCGAGCCCACCATCGCCACGTGGATGAAGCACACGATGGCAGCGTCCGAGTGGGAGATGGGCATGGCCTGGCTGCCGGCTTTCGTGCCGCACGTGCTAGGCGTCTACCTCACAGTGCGCCTGGCGGCACGCTACCCACACCTGCAGTGGCTGTACGGGGCGCTGGGGCTGGCTGTGATCGGTGCCAGCTCGTGCATTGTGCCCGCCTGCCGCTCCTTCGCGCCCTTGGTGGTCTCGCTCTGCGGCCTCTGCTTTGGCATAGCGCTGGTCGACACAGCACTGCTGCCCACGCTCGCTTTCCTAGTGGACGTGCGCCACGTCTCAGTCTACGGCAGCGTCTATGCCATCGCCGACATCTCCTATTCAGTGGCCTACGCGCTCGGGCCCATAGTGGCGGGCCACATCGTGCACTCGCTCGGCTTTGAGCAGCTCAGCCTGGGCATGGGCCTGGCCAACCTGCTCTATGCGCCCGTTCTACTGCTGCTGCGCAACGTGGGCCTCCTGACACGCTCCCGCTCCGAGCGCGACGTGCTGCTGGACGAGCCGCCACAGGGTGCAGGCGGCCGCAGGCAGCGGAGCCAGCAGGGAGCAAGGTGAGAGTGTGCCTGGGTGCCGCCGCAGGCGGTGGACGCGGCCCGGAGACGAGGGCGGCTGTCCCCCGGAGGCTCTGTCCATGGACCGCAACCCTGGGCGGAGAGAGCCCGGCAGTCCAGGGCTGGCGGCGGGCCCGTCGGCCGTCGGGACAGCTCTGGAGGATGGCGGGATTCCGCTGCTTGAGCTGCCTGGGTTTGGAGGAGGTTGGGCGGCAGCTCTGGGGGACTCCACGCTTGTTCTCCCTTCACCTGGACTGCATCTGGCTAAACCTGTCGGAGGTCTTCGCTTTGGTGTGCAGTGGGGAGGGTCTGCGGGTCTCACTCCACTTGGACTGAAAGTACGTGGCTGGCACCCACCTCTCTCCATACCTGTCGGGAGCTGG